ATTATGAATGTTACTTTCCTAGACTTGCTCTGTTTCCCCTGTGCCTCATCCTCAAAATGAGAACAAGCTATTAACAAAAGAATACATGCTTCATGGTAACAAATAGCATGCAGATATAAAGTGCTGGTGTGCTTTTTTTATTCCTTCAAAGCAATGCCTACTTCTTTTTCAAACAATTTAAAAACTTGCCAAATACTGTTTTGCTATATTGCTTTTAGCTAGAGAGTTGGTGAGAGGGTTATTGAAAATCCCTTTAGTTCAAAATGACTGCTTGGAGCAGTTTGCTTTTTCCTTGGTGACTCATTAATTCATGTACTTTTATAATGCAAATCCTCTATATCATTCAGGAATATTGGTGATTTTCATCCAGTGAGGGCATCAGAGAAGTACAAATAAGGAACAAGGGAGGCTGGTTTGTAAGTTCATCCAAATCTCTTTTGCCCTTGGTTCAATAATTAGAAAATTTGAAAGAAGTCATTTAAAAATTGTGAGAAAGAGCCACACAAATATAGGCATATTTCATTATGCCCAAGATCATTTAACGGATCATGTCTTACTTACTTAGAAAGCAATCTACTACATAGGTATATTGGGTATTTGGGGAGATGCTTGAACTTTTTCAGATAATTGGAAGAATTGTTTATTAATGCAGTGGTCAGGTAGGGAGCTCATGATATATCCTCAAATTGTTCAACTTCCATTTAGAAAATGGTTAGCTTTCTTCATAAGAGCATGTCAAGAGATTTTTTAAAAACTCATTTCACATTTGTATGCCCTTTAAAATTTATCAGCACTTATATTCTATAAAAGACACATGGCACTACCAATGTCTTGTTAAATAGCTTTTTATGTTTATAGCTATCTCCTTGCCTGGATATTAACTAGTATAACATATAAAGACCAGAGGCAAATCTTAACATTTTTTTCCTGACAAAACAGCTGAACATAGCTAGCATTTAAAGGATATTTGATGATGATGGTGATGGTTTTTTTTCTCTCATATCTATCTAAATCTATCTCCCTACCTACCCATCATCTTGGGTCAATGATTGTTTTGTTTATGTCTTTATATTTCCAGAATCTGGCAGAGTGCCTTATATTTGGTAGATAGTTAATAGTTGCTTGTTTCATTGAATTTTTTGAGTTCCTCAAAAGCAATGATTGCCTTCCACTTAACTGAAAAGTTCATGTTATCCTTGCATTCTGTATATTTCAGTGTGAGAGAGTCTTAATACTGGTGGGGAGAAGGAAGGAGGGAAGGAACGAAGGAAAGAAAAAAGAAGGAAGGAAGGAAAGAAAGAAGAAGGAAGGAAGGAAGGAAGGAAGGAAGGAAGGAAGGAAGAAGAAGGAGGAAGGAAGGAAGGAGGAGGAAGGAAGGAAGGAAGGAAGGAAGGAGGAAGGAAGGAAGGAGGGAAGGGAAGGAGGAGGAGGAAGGAGGGAGGAGGAAGGAAGGAAGGAGGGAGGGAAGGAGGGAGGAGGAAGGAAGGAAGGAGGAGGGAAGGAAAGAAGGAGGAAGAAGGAGGGAGGGAAGGAAGGAAGGAGGAGGGAAGGAGGGAGGAAGGAGGAGGGAGGGAGGGAAGGAAAGAAGGAAGGAAGGAAGAAGGAAGGAGGGAAGGAAGGAAGGAAGGAGGGAGGGAAGGAGGTAGGGAAAGAAAGGAAGTGAGGAGGTCAGGGAGGATAAATGGAAGTGAAGAAAGACTAAAACTTTTCCTTCGACAGACAACTAGAAATGTTCATAGATTTTAGGGCTGGAGGGGATCATGGAATTCTTTGAATCCAATTCCCTCATTTTATAGCTGATACAACTGAGACATAGAAATGGGAGAGTTTTATTAATGCTTACACTACCATTAAATAGCAGAGCTAAGATTTGACCACAATTTTTTGTTTGATTTGATTCCAAATACTCTCCATTTTCTGTTGCTCTATACTACTTATCATTTATTAACATTAACCTTTTTTTATGATGAACTATGTTTAAAATCTTTTTTTAATGTAGCTTAAAGTCTTTCTTTGCTTTTAAAGTAATATCTACACAGTTTTTTTTTTCTTAACTCCATTGACTAACATAAAGTCTTTGGAATGTACTGGTTATAAATTAGCAGTGACCCAGTCCAAAACACTAGAATCAGAGAGATAATATGAAAACTTTGTAGCCAACTAGTAAACGTATACTTGAACAGGAATTTCCACCATGACATCTCTCACAAGTGATTATTCAGTCTTTCCTTGAAGTCCTCCAGGGAGGACTTTGCCTCCAATAGAAGAAAGGCAGCCCATTCAACTTGGAGATAGCTCTCATGCTTAGGAAGCTGTTGTTGTTTTCTTCATTAGTTTATTTCTCCCCAGGCATCAAATACATTTCTGTAAGTGTATGTTTTCCACATTCTGTACCTTCTTTTTTTCCTAGAGAGGCAAATAAAATATGTCTAATCCCTCTTAGATGAGATACTTCTAGTAATGAAAACAATTATTACCCCTCAGTCCCATCCCAAGTCTTCTCTGTCTTAAAACTACTAGTTCTAACAATAGTCATGTGGTTTGAATTTGAGTCATATGAGATACAGTGTGTACATGCCTTTTTCCAAAATGACAGTTAGCAATCAATCATGTTCATAACTGTCTTTTAAGTTTCAACTCAAAATATTTTTGTTTGTTTTTATCTCAAATAAATAAGTCTGAAGTTTTGGTATACTGGCACCAGCTGGAAGTAATGTGCTGGACACATGATCCAAATATGACACATTTATTTCCATAGTGAATCCCCAGTGGCACATTTCTATTTAAAACATCTAAAGAAACTCAGTAGGGTACCAATCATGGTTCTTGGACTTAGATAAGCTAGATTTAACTGATACTTCTTATTTGAAAAAAGAGTATATTTATTAGATACTTAAACTTAAAAATTGTTTGAAAAGATGAAAAATCATGGTGCTTTTTTCAGCAAACTCCAAAGATAAAATTAATCATTGTAAATCACTAATCTATTGTTATTATTCATAAATCACTCTAATGTTAAGCTTTATATAGACTTCAATTACAAATGAATCTTAGAGTGAGGTCTGCACTAATGTCTGCATCTAAAATCTGCATCCCTTTGTGTTATATACTGGAAAGAATGATGAATTCGGAGTTAAGGGATATGGGTTTGACAACTAGCTATGCTACTTACTCTATGTATGACCTTGGGCAAGTCAGTTCACTCTAGTTGTTTCAATTTCCTCAAAATAAATTAATACAGCTGGATAATGTTTAAAGTGAATTTACACTCTAAATTATCTGATTACTATCACATGACAGTTGGCAAGTTCGGTGTCTTTGATTGTACTAGGAATGTTTTTAAAACTGTCTATATCACCTCAAACATGTCAATTACCATTTTGATCCTCAGTTTACTTGTCTCTAAAATAGGGGACTTGGAGTAGAGACCTCTTCTACCTTCAAATCTATGAGCCTATCATCTAAAATCATAGATTTAGTCATGGACAGGATGTTTGAAGAAATAAAGAATAACACTGATTTTACAGCTGAAGAAACTGAGGACATGCAAGTAAACTGTTCCACCAAGATCACAAAGAGAGAATGAAAAAGTCAGTATTTGAATCTAAGTCCTCTCTACCCTCCCAATTAAGAACATTGTGATTACAAGTAAGAGAATACATTTCAATCTTATGTTTCTTTTCTTGCCAACTTCCCTCTGTCTTTTTTAGCTTTTCAGTCTCTCTTTTCTTGAGCCTAATTTCAATATAACATTTCAAGGTGCTGGGGTGATGAGCCTCTGTTGATGGAAGTGTCCAGAAATGAACATAGGTGATGGGGACAATTTGCCTTAAGTCAATTTTCTAAAAGTGATACCCTTATAGCCTCCATTTGATATTTGGAATCATTCAAGATCTTCTACACTCTACCAAAGATTTAGAAGCTAAGAATAAAGACTAGGACTAGTCATTATGGCTAGTTTATTTTTTTTACTTGAAAGCTCCCTTTTATTATATTGAATTCAATAATACTTTTCTAGACATTTGTAATTTTTCCAGGAACTATTCGGTTTTGATCATGGCATCTGTTTACAAACATAACATATAATTTATAGAATAAGATTCCATACTTCCTACAATGCAAAAAAAAAAAAAAACAGGCAACTTTCCTAGTTATAGTCTGCTCTGTATGTTTTCTATCAAACTGCCAAACTTTTATTTAATTCAGGTTATTCTTGAAAGCTAAAATACGCAAATAACATAAATACCATTACAAAAATAAGAAACTAATTTATCAAGAGGCAATGAAGTTCTCATTCTTGTTACTCTAGTTGAGGAAAGAAAACATTTTTAGGATTCCAAATACATCACAATGGTAAAAGATTATGCTAAGGTATACTGTTTACACACTTAACGTTAGGTCTCAGAAACTACTTCATTGCATTTATAGATAGAATCTTCTATTCACACTCTAAGTTTGCTTTTTTTTTTTTTGGTATTACTGCCATGCATGATACCTGATGCTCTCAGATAAATACTTAGTACAAAATTACAAACAAAAAAAATATTTTCTTCAGCACTATGAATATTGCCTATATTTAGATATGCAAAATCCATGCATATGCTGTAAGTTTTATTTCCTATTGTGAGCCAATGTTTATATTTCAGTTTAATATCTGGTAACCAAATCGACAATATGGCATGTGCCTAATTTACCATTTAATTAAGATGACTGCATTGGACTAGTCAAAGTGGAATCTTCTAAACAATTTTTAAAGCCAAAATAATTGTCAGGGCACTTCATCTAGCATTCTTCATAAATACAGTATTTTTCAAAAGTGTAAATTATTTTGGTTGGATCATCTACAAAAATGCCAACAAAAAGGTGCCCTATAGTCTTTCTAAGTAGAAAGGAGGTTCATTTACAGAAGCTTAGAAAGCCAAGACTAGACACAGTAGACTTGATTGGCTCTTACTTACAATGCATATTATGACATCGCATACTGAAGAAGTTTTCTGTATTCAGCTTAGAAGGTGTTTCTTCCCAAGAAATTGAACTTTTATGTCAAATGTGCTTGATCCAATGGGTGAATATGGTTTATAAAATAGATTCATTGCTAACTTTATATATAACTCATAGACATCACTAAAGAGGTTCTTTATTCCGTGATCTTGTCTTACGTCATGAAGTGTAATAAATTTCACATGGTCTGCAGTAGCAAGAACAGAAACAAACCACTCATTGAATTTGTCCACAGTTTTCAGGTGCATATTATTACACAGCCACCTATTTGCATCTACTAGGCCAAGGGCTGCATGAGCTATGGACTGGTTGAAATGATGATGATCATGCTTAGATTCTACTTTTTCAGCTGGTAAAAATTCTATTTCAAAACCTGGATTATCATGATGGCCAACAATTGGAAAGTAGAAGCTTCCAGACATTGCCTCCAAAGTACAGAGTCATAAGGATCATCCTAGGCATCTTTACAGCCCTGACTTAGTGGGGTCAGGGGAAAAAAGGAGGAGGAGAAGGAAGGCGAGGAGGCAGCAGGTGGGAGAGAAGAGGAGGATGAGGGAGGAGAAATGATCAGGCTAGCTTTTTTTAAAACAAAATTTGGCAAAAAAGAGATGCCATGTCATGAGAGAAGCATGGATATGGAAAATGGGGATGTATGACCCTGGTGTCTTTCTACTCACTGAAAGGCTCAGCAAGAGTAAACTAGCATTTCTCCAGAACCTACTGGAAAAAAAAAAAGGCACTGTGTGAGCAGATGGGGAGACAAAGATGAGAAAAGGCATGCTCTTTAGCTTTACATATTCTACTACAAGGGGAAGTCATGCACACAGAGATACTAATATGAGATAAGGAATGGTGAATGTAAAGGAGAGAATAAAACATGATGCCCCAGGGAATTCTGAATGAGGGAATGTTTTCAGTGGAGAAAATCAAGCATGGTATCAAGGAGGAGGTGACATCTGAACTGGGTTTTAAAAAGGGGAAAGGATATTAACAAGTAAATTCGACACGGGTGTGCATTTCTGTCTTGGCAGACAGGCGGTTCTATGGTAGAAAGGTTTTAGGGAGCGGTTTGCGGCCCAACGTGTTTGAAACTTAAATAGCATGAAAGCAAGTTTTTTACATAGGACTGGGAAAGTAGGTTAGAGCCATGTTGGGGAGGACCTGAAATTCCTTGCTAAAGAATGTCTTACCACAAGTATGGTTGGGAGAAACTAAAGGTTTCTGAAAGATTAAAACTGTATCTGAAGGAGAACACTCTGGAAACTGTGCTTAACATGATGATGGGAGGGACTGTAAGCAGGAAGAATATTTAAGTGGCTTCTACAACAGGCAAGAGAAGATGAGGGAGTTCACTGAGGTCAGGGCAAGGGAAGTGAGGAGCACTGTGTAAGAGGGTAGTCTACATTTTACAAGTTACACAATCACATTCAAGTGGCTGACCTTTTTCCCTTGACAGGAGTCATCCCCTCTAATTTCTATGTATTAGTAATGCCCCTTTTCACCAGTCAGCTCCTACCAAAGAAGCTTTACTTTAAAAGGATTCCTCCGGGACTAAATACGCCCATTTGATAATTGTTGTTATGTCACTTACACTCAAGAACAAGCAGGCAATAGGATTTTGATGATCAGTTTTAAGTTTTTCTAGCCAAATAAGTCATACTATATAGCCCTGTTCTGATTAATGACTGCCTTTCCAGTACTGCTTTTTTTCTTTCCCTCACCTTCCCTCTGATGAAACAAGCAACTAAGATCAAATCATCTTTACCATTGTTTCTGGATGGGGTATGTCAATCTACTTCTCTTTTCCTCTACCCATCATCCCTAAAAGTTTATGTGTTTTGGCTCCTGCATTATAATGTTAGCTCCTTAAGAGTGGGGACACTTTTTTTGCTTTTGCATTTGTATTCTCAGCACTGGGAGCACTCAGCCCATAGTAAGCACTTAATAAATGCTTTTTTATTCACACATTCATTCCAAAATAATAATAAATTCATGACTGAAAACCAATTGTCACTAGGTTTTATAAGGTCCGTGGCTTCAAAAATAGGTACTTTACCCTTAAAACTTAATCTTCTACGAGGCTGAATAAGTATCATATAGCTGTTCTACCCATCAATTAGCATTTTATGAAAACTCAACAATTAATAAAAACAGAAATACTTCTCCAAAATTGAAATGAATACTTTCTCTTGAAACCTTAAGGAATTACAGACCAAACTTCATGGTTTTTGTTTTTTCAAGGACATCTAACTATAGTCTTTAAAAATAGCTGTAGTTTTGGGTCAGAGTTGGAGAGCTGATTTACAGCAACAACCTAATTCTTCCTAGCATTTATGAGCTCTTATATTGAAGAATTTTAGCATTTAATTCAAAGTGAATTATTTAATCAATAGGGATCACTTTTAAGAATGTGAATCTGGCTAGCTCAAGAGAAGTTACTAATCCTTTAAAGATGATTTTGGCCATCTAGTGCTTTATTTTCACTGAGTTTAAAGGCCTCTGACCTTTTAGTCTGAAGATAGCATTTTTTGTGACTCATTTTGAATTTGAAATGAATAGTGAACGTGTCTTCTCCACCTCTTTCTAAGTTTACCTGCAGGAGCTCGTTCATACTTATCCAAAGGAATTTTGTTAGGGGCTTTAATACATTCCCCAAATACTTTGTTTATTATGACTGGATATATTAATTATCCAGTGTTGACTATAGAAACAGTGACAGGTTTGTCTCCTGCCTCTGACATAGACTTGCTCTGCAGCCCTGAGTAAGTAAATCACTTACCCTCTCACTGTCTCTGGCTGCTCTGTAAGATTATAAATTTCAAATCAATGCTCAAGCTCAATCTTACCGGTAGGAGACATTCTCTAATACAATCAATACACACGTAAATGCAAAGAACACAGCTCTGCGTGGTGCTAGATTCTTTGAGTGGCAATGTAGTGCAATGGAAAGAGAAACAAATTTGGAGACAGAAAAAAGGAACTCAAATCCTGACTTTGCCATTTACTACCTATGGGATCTTAGGAGTCACTTCTCTCTGAGGCAATTTTAGTGTCTGTCACTTGGAAGGATTGGCCTAGATAATCTGAAAAAAAAAGTAGAGATTTTAGTGGACTGGAATTTCAACAGTGTGATATGCAGCAGAGAAAAATGATTGACTTTAGACTACATTGATAGAGTAAGGGAAAGTAATAAGCATTTATTAAGTGCCTAACATATGTCAAACATTGGATTAAATATTTTACAGATACTACCTCATTTGATCCTCACAAAAATTCTGTGAGGTTGGTGTTATTTTGTTTGCCAGTTTCCAGTTGAGAAAACTGAGGGAGGCAGAGGTTAAGTAATTTGCCCAGAGTCACACAAGCTAGTAATTTCTGAGATCATATTTTCATTCAAGTCTTCCTGACTCCAAGCCCAGCACTTTATCCATGATACCACCTAACTGCCTCTGTTGCGTTTAGAGGCACTGTTTTTATAGAATCCAGAAGTAATAAATAGGTCTACTATTTTGCACCACCTAGTTGTCCCATCTCAAAGCTAATATGCATCAAAAATGAGATTTGAATCTATGTCTTCTGATTTAAAGGCTGTCCACAAAAGATGCACAGATGCTTCCAGTTTCCCTCCTCTCACTCTTTTCTTAACCTCTTACAACCCAGCTTCTGACTTTAAAATTCCAACAAATGTTACTGATCGTTCTAAAGAAAGTAATCATTACACAATAAAACACACTAAAAGAACTCTAAAATTGCTAATGATTTCTTGGTTGCCAAATCCATTGGCCTTTCCTCAACCCCTATTCTCCTTGACCTCACCTCAGCCTCTGATACTATTGATCTCTCTCTCTCCCCCTTGATACTTTCTTCTCTCTAGGTCTTCCAGATACCATGCTCTCCTGATTTTCCTCCTACCTATCTGACTGTTGCTTCTCTCTCTTCTTTGCTGGGTCTTCCTGTGGATCACACCTTCTAATTCTAGGTGTTCCTTAGAGTTCTGTCCTGGTTCTTCTTCTCTTTTACCACTATACACCTTCATTTGATAATAATAGAAACTCACATGGATTTAATTTAATTACCAACTTTATGCTAATGATACTCAAATCTGCCTTTTCTGCTCCATCTTTCTGCTGGTCTCCAATCTTACATCTCCAGCTGCCTTTCAGACATCTCATAATGGATGCCCAGTAGACATCTTAAATTCAGTATGTCCAAAACAGAACCAAATATCTTTCCCCAAAAATATTTTCACTCTGCTCTTCTCTATTATTGCAAAGGGCAACAATTTCATTCTTTTAGTCCCTCAGGCTTTCAACCTAGGAAACATCCTGGATTCTTCACTATTTCTCAACCCCCATATCCAAGCTGTTGCCAAGACCAGTTGATTTATCTTTGCAACATCTCTTGAATATGCCCCTTTCTCTCCCCTGACACTTTAATATAGGCCCTCATCACCTCGTGTTCTTATTGTGGTAAAAGCCTACTGCTCAGTCCATCTGTCTTGTCTCTCCTCATGTCATTCCATATTTCTTTCAGCCACTACAGTGACTTTCCTAAAATGCCAGATCATTCATGTCATCTCTAAATGCAATGTACTCTAATGGCTTCCTGTTGCATCTAAGAGCAAATATAAAATGCAGTATTTGGCATTCAAGGCTTTTTACAACTTAACCTCCCCCCACCCCCTAACCCTGCCTTTGTAGTCTTCTTACATCCTACTCCCCAACACTAAGAAAATCCATCTCTTCTGTTCAGGCATTCTCTCAGTTCTCTCTGCCCCACCCCCCCACCCCATGCCTGTAATGTTCTCCATTCTCCAATCCAACTACTGAATTTCCTGGATTCCTTTAATTACCAATTAAAATTCCATTCCTACAGGAAGACTTTGCCAATCTTTAGTAATTCCAGTTCCTTCCCTTTGTTAATTATTTCCAATTATCCTTTATCTAGCTTGTTTTATTTATATTTGCTTGCATGTTGTTTCCCATTAGATTGTAAGCTCTTTGAGGGCAGGGACTTTCTTCTGCCTATTTTTCTATCCCTAGCACTTAGAACTATGCTTTCAGATAGAAGGCTCTAAAAAGTGTTTATCTATTGATTATTCATACAGCTCTTTTGGATGTTCACAATATAAAAAAATAGGAAAATTGATTACTATGCAAATTCCTTTATGGATTCCATCTGTACCCTTCATTTAACTTTGTATAAGAGAAAACAGAAAGAAGCTTTTGAGGGGCAGGAGCAACAAGAATGAAAAATTCTCAAATAATATAAATTTGGTCAGAATAGTAAAGAAATAAAATAGACTGAATGCTACCAAAGAAATTTAATATGTATCATAAAATACATTAGAGTTCTTTTCTAATACTAGTCATGGTGCCCTGCCCCTAAGCAAGTGAGGTGCCTGGAATGTGAGAAAGAAGAC